TTGTCATCTTGTAATAATATGATTTTATGCAGCTTACAAAGAACAACTGGGTGTGTCTTAGGAAAACCAACTAAATAAAACTTTTACTTTTTTTAGTGTCGAAAGAATGCAAAGTAGCAATTTTTCGTTTTTCTTTCGAACTGACCACTCAGCTTCTAACTTATCTATTTGTATGGACATGAATGAGAAGCAAATAATTTTCAGTGGCACTTTCGGTTTGCTTACGATAGTGTGCTGCATATGTTCCTAAATAATCTTTTTAACATGTTTCTACACTCGGCACGTGTACACAAATTAGCATCCTTCTGCCCCTGCCAATGAACTCATTCTTTTTGCTAAAAACGTGTTTATATTTACCACACACCTCGCCAAATTACTCATATCAATAAAAGCGTAAACCCTTGCAATTTGTTGATTAACATCCACATCGGATCAGTTGCTAGACCCGTATTTCACAAGTTCTATTAGTCTAAACACTATGCCATCACTTTGATCTGAGTTTTAGGCTATCAAATTGAAAGCTTGCTATTTTGTTCATTTAATAGCCAGTGTGGCGTTGTAATGTTCCGGTTAAATATTCGGTGTGTTTACTGGTAGCTACAAGATTCACAAACGGGGTCGTGTCATAATAAAGATAGCATTCAACCCGTTCTAACCCTAACCTTGTTGCGTGTGATTATTCCACTGAGTTTTAAAGATATCAATTGCCGCTAATGTGTTGCCATTCGTGCTAAAGATTTGTCATATGAATAGGGTGGCGTTCTCATTTGGATCATAAATGTAGAACCTTCTGCGTGTAATTGTTTCTTCTCATCTATGAAGGCAAATTCTTTATCATATACATATAATACGCAATGTTAGAGATATAATAATGACAAATACGTTTTTTCGTTCAGCAGTTAAAGCATATTTTACCATTCTTTTTTGCATTCTGGTCGTTTTTGTGGAAGCAAGTTTTGCTCTGTCATTACTCCCTGGTGATTCTTCTGTACAACAGTAGAGGATCAAGATCGTGGTTCAGAAAAAGACATTGAAGAACATGTTACGGAAGAACAACTTGCATAATGTCCACTCTATTTATGACAAGTGCTAGTAAGATGAATGGCTAAATAGTGAGATTTCGCTCAAATACAATGGCTAAATAATGTTCAAAGGTAGAAGTTTGTGTTAGCCGGGCAGTAGATAGCAAAGTGATAATGCAGATAACCCCTTTATACAAGTAATAATGTTCTAATCATAGAGTGCTAACATACAGCCCGCACCAGAACAAGGTATTGATATAGCGCTGTTTAATGTTCACCAATTTTATACGCATCAAGTTACGTTTTGATGATGGAGTCAGAGCATAAATCACACATCGATAGTGCGAGGAACCGAGCACTTGATCAACGATTGGTGTAGTGGTAATGAATGTGTTAATTGATGGGAGATGACACAATTCTTCATGATTTGTATCTATGATGCTGTTATTATGCCGTTGATACAATCAAGTTTGCACAGACATTTTCATGTCTATTCGTTGAATATCGTTAAGGCAGAGAAGTGATTCATTGTCGAATGTTACATCTGCCGAAGTGTTAATATCGTTATACGTTCTGATTTGGTTACTCGTGACACGCTTCTTCTTCTGGTGCCGATGATACGACGTGTTACATTTTTATGGACAGCTTTGTTTTGACAAACGAACTTTGGCTCATAGCCGTGCTCAATACTAGCTACTGCGGTTGCAGGGTGTATCAGTGCCTCCTCTAAAACAGTGAATGTGTTCAGCCCTTCTACAATGAGAGATGAACAGGATCAGAGAAAAATGTACAAGTATCAGTGCAAAGACTGTAAAAAATTGGAAGTGGTTGGTCCTAAAGATCCTATAAGATGCAGTAGCTGTGGATGCAGGATATTCTACAAGTTACAGAAGGATGAGACCACACAATACGACGGGTGTTAAGAGACACGTAAAATTATTTCGGTGAAATGTTGTGGAGAGTGGATTGCAGTTTATGGGGAATAAATTGCGGTTCATAGGAAAGGAATTGTGTTGTGGAAGAAAGAACTTGTGATTTATAGGAAAGGAATTGTGTTGTGGAAGAAAGAACTTGTGATTTATAGGAAAGGAATTGTGTTGTGGAAGAAAGAACTTGTGATTTATAGGAAAGGAATCGTGTTGTGGAAGAAAGAACTTGTGATTTATAGGAAAGGAATTGTGTTGTGGAAGAAAGAACTTGTGATTTATAGGAAAGGAATCGTGTTGTGGAAGAAAGAACTTGCGGTTCATAGGAAAGGAATTGTGTTGTGGAAGAAAGAACTTGCGGTTCATAGGAAAGGAATTATGTTGTGGAAGAAAGAAATTGTGATTTATAAGGAGCAAACTAAACGCTGTAATAATAAATTAACTACACGCTACAACAACGGATGAATTATACTTTATGTGATTGTGTTATTACAACCAACATAACAGCCTGATTTTATGCCCTCGTCATTTACCTGTATAGTGCAACGAGAGCAAGTATTGTGCGGATGAACCACGCCCTGAGAAGTGATAATGCTTCTCAACAATACAATAATGTACATTTCATGCAGTGATGTTGTTCATAGGTTGTATAAAAAATTGTTCGAAGCACTTCATGAGCGTTAAGAAGCATGTAATTGCTTCGTTAGGAGTAAATTGATGCCTACCATGTACAACACTCGGTATGATCAGTTTTGCCGCATTGGTCAAGAAATCCTTGATCATGCCAGTGATCACATTTATAAAAATAAATATCACATGGTTAACCACGCCAAACTGCCAATTACATCGTGTAAACCGGGAAAAATGGATGTGATGCCAAACAGTTTGTAAGAACATGTTGTGTTTTTGTTGTACCTGATGACAACAATTTGCATCTACAACCATCTTTTTGACCATGCAGTTCTTTACGTACCACAACACATCGATCACAGATATTTTTTACAAGTAATACCTGTGATATTATTCGCTCAGTAGTTCATAGTTTGTTTTAGTGTTTCGTGTCCATTTATGATGCTTCGCTGTACGGATCTATCATAGCTGTAATTCAATTTGTTCAAAATTTAGACGAGCCCCTCAATGCACGATGATGTGCGTGTTAAGGTTTCGTCAAACGAGAGAGATGCACAGAACCTGTTGGATAGCAGTGATTACACCTGTTGGTCGCCATCATTACGGGTGCCTCACTATATTTAGATCAGCAGCAAGAAGCAGTTTAATAGAGTGACACTGGTAAATCAGATGGGATACAATTGCAAAACAGTGGAGGCTGCGGGCAAGAGATACTTCTTTGATGAAGATACGGTGTCACAGATCATATTTGTGGACGAAGACGTGAGTGAGGTTATGCTTAAGATTGTGGAGACGTGGGATCCGTACGGAAGGATTTGCATTTACAATGTATTACTGAGTGGAAAGGAATAGTGAGGTGATACGAGATTAGAAAATACTACGGTGTTGGAATAAAAGACATGGATGCGAAAAGAAAGGTAGGTAATTGCATTAGAAACGAGTGAATTTGGAAGTTCATCGTTTTTTCTGCCCTTCTAATCATGCTGTATGACGTTGATACACGTTTTACATCTGAACAATTACTTTGGAGCGAGAGGATTGGTACGGCGATTGCAAAGAAATGATAAGAATGTGCCGATTTAGGATCGATGATAGAGAATGGTGGGGTGGGCCAAATAAATGGTTGATTGCTTGTGTTTGCTTAATGTCGAGCCGTGCAGAGACAGATTTGCAAAAATGACTTCTAATCCTGGGTCCACACCTTGTTTAAGTCGAAATGCCATGTGATACACGAAAAGGGTCACGATGCGAAGGTTTTTGCATATCTGTGGTGGAGTATAAGTCAAAGAGTGTGCTACATCGAATCGAGTTAATTGCTTCTTTCTGTTATTTTTACTTGATAATAGTAAAAAACTGCAGGAGTATAAGTAAAGGTAATCGTAGATATCTTATGTAAATAACAGCAAACACAAAATTGTGCTAAGAAAAAAAGGGTATTAATTGCGTGCGGTGGAGATGGACTGGCCCGCTACGTAATGAACCATCTTTTCGTTTCTCTACACCAATGTGATCGGTAATTAGGTTGAGCCGTTGTTTATGTCGCTTATTTCCGTATTGTTTCATGTATGTAAACATTCCGCGCCACTCACAACGGAAAGCAGTCCTAGAAGTTGTTCGGCACTCATTGAACAAGAATTGGCGCATTGGACATTCATTCTGATCTGGATCACTCTTATGCTCCGACCATTACACGCTTTGTTAGCAGTGATAGGCCAAAGCCATTTGCCAGTTGTATTTCTCGTCAATACGATGCGGCAAAGAAGATTATTATTTATTGGTCTTATTCGAAGCGCACTTAGTTCTTGAGAGATTGCTTTTACCCCCTGGCACAACTGTACTTGACAAAGCAAGCGACCGCAAAATTTCCAGGTATAAGACATGAAATGATGGATGCGATCATCCAAGTACTAGAAGAGAATGTTTTGGACTAGCACCGTTTGTTAGTTCACTGTTTGTAACAGCTGGGAAACACTCAAGAGAGATGTCGAACCGCTAACCAATCATTTCTATACTGCGATACGATCACATTAAGTGTTTGAAGAACGTTATCGTGTGTCTAGCAGTGGTTAGATTCAGAAGTCTATCTTCTCAAAAGTTGTATGCATCGGGATAAGCATGACCCGAGTATTGTTTGAACGATTGGCGTGGAAATATCCTTACGTTCCGCATTCTTGATCAATTGTTCATGCAATCGGGCCATAAGGATTGGTGGTTGACAGCAAGTACTGTTGGATGCACCCGATGACACCGCTGCGTGGCTTCACATGCAGATAATGTGCATTTTGCTGCTTGTGTTCGCATATATACCAGATGACATGGACTGCAGTGTACAATGCCATGTGGTTATTTATTTCTGTGAATTCTTTAGTCGATGAGCTGTACGGAAGACTGTGAATTGAAAATCATTCTTGCTGGTTAAATACGCTGAAATAGTACAAAGCTGGCTAAAACGATACTGATACACACTTGTATAGGTGCACGTTTATTTTCTGATTGGTTGGATTAATTACACAACAACATCTCTTGCCAAGCGATTTACATAGAAACGTGTCAAGAACGTTCCATGTCCTAGTGTGATAGCTCGATGAACGAATTTGATCACTATCCCATCAGAACTAACCAATTAACACCATCGATCTGCGAGAGTATGCGAACATACAGCGGCTTTGGTGCATGTGTAGTGTAATGCAACCATGCTGTTGGCAATGTTAGCTAATGTATTCATTAAAAATATATGCAATTCTAAATAAGGTGTTCCATATCCTTCGGCGAAACACAACATGCAGTTCAGATCTTGATGTGTTGATTCACAGATAACACCGTTATGATATCTGTTTTGTAAAATATATGCAGATCGAAACACAGCAAATATTCATCAGCAATCACAAATCAGCCATTTATCATCAATCGCTATATATCAAGAAAAAAAGGATAATAAAACTCGTTGCCAAGATATGATATAAGCACCTCGGTAAACAAGACATTCATTACATAGAAATCATGTTTGTTTGATGTTCATTCTTCCATCTGCATGTTCTACGCACAATCCATCACGATTTTGTAATTTGATGAAATACCTTGTATGAGCTACGGTGATTGAATTTGACTTGTTGAAAGAATGAGAATATTTGTTAAAGTACACGCTTTCTCCATACATTAACAGAAATGATGCATATTGTGCACAAGAATGCTCGTGTTAACTGCACTATGTGAGAGAATTATAGGTAGATAATCATAATACTATTTTACTACTTGTGAATGGTTATTTAGTGGCAGCTCATGTTCTACTCGAAATATGATAGCGATAAAGATGATGCTTGTGTTCAGTCCTGTTTATTCACTGTAACTGACAATTGCCACACTGTTGTTTGCGAGGATAGATCTTTGGTTTTGCATCACAGCATCGGTATCATGCATCGATTACTTCCACCCTCTTATTGTTTGCCATACTTCATTTCTGCAAAGATTCAAATTCTAATAATGTATAACATCCTTTGTTGCCAAATTTGCATATCTCACTGATGAAATTAATAACTGTGCTGGCAACGAGTGCAGATGACCACAAGCTTATTCCACAAACGGCTTAACCATTGCTCGTTTAGTTGGCAGGCTGATAAAAACAAAGCACGATAAATCCGTACATTCCGATGTTTCATAATTTGACCTGTGCTTCATACACATCTTTACGCCAAGAACATTGTGTAACTAGTTAGTGTGCTTGGCACAATCAAAAATGGTGAGCTCTACGGATTAGATATGACCAATCATGAAGGCTTTAGAAAAGAAGAGAAATCACAGATACTGTTCGGATCTCCGTATTGAAAAATCATGGCAGGAATATGCTATTGTGTGGACGTAAAATGCTTTTGTTGTCTTTGTGTCATAATACATTATTAGTGTTTTTCGAAAATTGTGGCGTCATGATCGAACGATTTACGGCACTTAGTTTTTGTTTCTGTTCATACTCGATGGCAGAACAAACGATTTAAAGTCAAATTTTAATTCATACGGATGCAACCATCTTTTAGCATAAATAGGATGTCTGATGGGATTAGATAAATATCAAATGGATTGTATTTTCCCACAGATCAGTATTCCGCGGAAAATGGTGGTTCAGCTTGGCATTTCTTGATTTCTGGTGACTTTCACGAAGCTAGTATAGCGATTTGTAAATTTACCTTTTGGATGCATCTTCATTCAAATAAGATGTGAGCACTGATCAGAGGTTGCAAATCCTTTGACCATGTTTTCGACCGATGGATCACACAAGAAAGCAACTTTCGAATAACTTTTAGATTATGGCGGTCCCAAATCAGTAAATAAAGGTTTACATGTGATGGAAAATGTTGTGTGTAACAGTTACTGTAGTGGTCTATAAGACGTACTAGAGAATTGATTTGGTTTATTGATGGCGAACATTGTATGTCATATTTCAAGGAGTAAAAATAATATTCGATGATTCGTTAGATAAAAGGATGCTAGTACACTACTCCTTTAAATTGACTAACTGTTGATTATAGCACGGAATAGGAGATCTGATAAATAGTGCATGGTAGTAAACCGATAAGAAAAATATAAAAGACAAATGAACCATAAAATGATGCACTTTCTTTTAGCATTATAGTTGAATTGGTTGTTGAGGACAGAACAAACATAGAGTACAAATAGGTTAATGTTTTATTTGAGTTGGAGAGATTTATGTCCATTTTTAGGTGCAGTTTTAACTAGATGGACCCAGAAAGTAAGTATTAATGTATACATTCCCGTGGATTCTATTGGTTGAATACACTGAAAACATCACATTACGGTAACATTCAATAAAAAATAAGATCGTCTGATTTATACCGTAATCAGTGTTGTAGAACATTTCTGGCATTGTAAAAGACCCATAAATCAATGTTGGGGTTACGGTTTGGACAAGTATGACTTGATGTATCTGAGGTTTTATGCATAATCACTGAATAAACCAGATCAAAATCTTGCAAATAGCATATTTGTTGTCAACATTAGTAAAAATTATGATCAATATGT